TATATGCATATAAGGAAATGTCATAATAACCCCCCCCAGTACAGCTATCATATACTAGTAAAAACATTTAACAATAACATTTAAGTAGAAATACATTCTTCCATGAAGAATAGTTTGGTTACCATAATATGATCATTTAGCTCAACATTAATATCTGAAGATGAAAAACCTTTAAATTTGTTTCTTTCAAAACAAAATGTCTTCATCTTAAGTATTGTGAAGCCCACAAAACATCTTCATCTTAAATATTGTTCAAAATACACTGTTTATTATGTACATTTTTGATAACTACATTGAATTAGTTGTTGGGAAGGCATCTTTCCATCCGAATTCACTCTTTTATTGTACTCATCATATAGCACTTTTATAGGTATAAGCACATGCATATACATGATGTATCCTTATCTGCATTAATTACTATGGTCTCCCATTTTTGAACTGGGCTGTATTTTCTACTCATTGAAGAAGTATGTTTGCAGAATGGTATTAAGTTGTGTTGGCAGAGGTTCGTCAGGAATAGGAAATTTTTGTTTAGTAACAGCAGGTGCAGGTGACTGACTCCATCAGAACATCTATTAAGATAATTCCTTTAGCACAAAACAAAAGTAAGGGCATGATAAAGAAGGTTTCAAATGCAATTAAGTCTTTCCCATTCAGCTTATGACCCATGATACTAAGTTATAACCTTTTTATTTATGATCATGAAAACTGGTTCTCAATTCATTGTTTCTTTTTCCAAGTCTTTATAACTACTGTATAGTAGTTACATTCTAGAACATTTTCAGCTATATTAACCATATTTTGAGATTCTCAATCATAAAAACATTTAAATAGTTCCAACAATAAAGCTGTTCTCTACTCTGATATTGACAGGTAGTAACTATATTAAAACTCCTTTACATTTTAATTTAATACTGATGATTTTGCCCAGAGCTTTAAATTTTATTGATCAATTTGAGTATGTTGAAATAACATCAGAAATAAGTCATTTCCTATAAATATAGCTTGTCTTAGTATTATTATGTATGCTATGACTATACAGAATTATTCATGAATAATACTTTATTTGGATCAGTTAGATTTAAGAGCAACTTTGATTTCTTTTATTCATTTACATATTTGGTCTGGGAACCAGGTGTTTCTGTAGTGACAGAAATGATACATGGTCATACCTTTCAGCTCTGATATCAAAGTAAATACATTACTTTTCACACAACTTATTGAAACTTAATTAGGACTAAATTACAAATATTTTTGAACAAACTCTGATCTTATATTAGCATTGTATCTTTGTATCAGATGTGATTTGTGGGTGACATAGGAATATGAATTTTTACTTAATTACTTGTGGTAGTACTGACATTTGAACTCAGGACCTCATGTTTCCTGGGCAGGTACTCTACCGCTTGAGCCACACTCTACCATGTTTGCTTTTTTCAGGTAGAGTCTTGCGATTTTTGCAATCCTCCTACTTATGTCTTCCATGTGGCTGGGATGACAGGTGTGTGACACAGTGCCAAGTTTTTTTGTTGGGATAGAATATTGCTAACTTTTTACCTGGGTTGTCCCTAAAATGAGATCCTCCCAATCCCTGAATCTGAGTAGCTGGGATTACAGGCATGAGCCACCACACCTTGTGGAATGATTTCTTAAATATATAGCCTGTAAGGTTAAGCCTAGCAGCAGGCTCCTGGGTCTGTCACTTGTATTTGGCATGTCACTTAGTGCCTTAGTACCCCCATGCGAAAAACCATTAGCACTTAATGGTAGCTACATACTCTATACATTTGATAAACTTCATTCAACTTCCTCTGAAGTTTGCAGTTTCTATTTTGGGAGAAGATATAATTAATTCAACTACCATTGAGAGGGAAGGCTTTATCCAATCTATTGTTTTTGATGATACTCAAAGTTAATACAACTGTCCCTGTCCACTCAGAACTTCTCTTTGTGGAATGTCTTTTTGTGTTATTTATGTTAGTTCATGAAATATTCTAACTCCTCAAAGTGTACAGAGCTAGAAATTTGTCAGAACCCTTGAAATTAGAGCACTGGATTCTACTTTAAACTTATTAAAGTTTCTACTTTAATAAGTTTCTAAAGATTCTACTTTAAACACAATTTAACACAATCAAGTTTTCTTTAAGTGTGAGAAGAAAATATAGGTTTGTTCCTTTCTTTCTATGAGCAGTACGTAGATTTTTATAGCAAGAAGAATATCAACATGTAGAAGAAAGAGATGTGGATCTAAGTACAAGTAAATATAAATCTCTATAAAACTATCATATTTAACAAAACAACATTTGATAGAGCAGATTTGGGGGCAGGTGGAATATATGTTTGGTATTCAGCCACAGATATTTTTTGCAAGGGTGGAGAAGGGTCAGAGGTGATTATGCTAAGTTGTAGAGTAATTGGTACTTTGCACAAGGGAGGGTTCATAAATCTGTTTTCATTGACATAACCAATAACAAAAGTCCTTTATATCACTGCCTTAAGGAAGGTAGAAAATATTCTTATTTTATTCATATTTTCATTGTAACTGCTATTCATTCTTTAAATCATTGGCTCAATTCCTCTTTATGTTTTTCCTCCTCTGACTCCTGAATAGGTATTTCAAGTGTAGCTTACACTGCACCTTTTATTACCCAAGTCTCCTTTGCAGATGAACAGCCAAAGGTGTTTGTAAGATCATGGGGCTTATGATAATCACAATTATGCAAATGCAGGGATCAAATCTTCTAGTTCTCTAAACTTAGTCACGATTAAAAAGGAAAGACACAACCAATACCACAGCTGTCTGAATCTTGGGCAATGTTTCCTCTAAACTCTAGTGAATCTTTGCGTTCACTTCAATAATCTTGCTGATGGCCTCATCATTAAACTCTGGATTTAGATTGCCTTACCTTCCAAAACTTTTCTTTGCTATTTACTACCTGCGTGACATATAACAGTTACCTGACCTTTTCTGAGTTTGCTTGGTTTGTCTGTAAAATGGGGTAATCATAATGTCTCCTTTGTAGGATGTAGAAAGGAGTAGCACACTGGGATACTTCAAGAAAGCACTTTAGAATTAATAATGAAAGATAGAACTATAAAATAGGTACTGTTTGGGGTGGTACTTATGAGGGGGCAGGGTAAATGGAGGAGATGAAGGTGAGGGAATATGGTTGATGGGCTTCATATACATATATGAAATAGAACAGGGAGCCTCTTGCAGTTGCTTTAAGTGGAATGGGAAAGGGTTTGTCAAGAGGAGATGGAATGGCCGATCTAACCAATCAATGATGTAAGTCTGTTTAGAATTGTCACAATAAATTCTTCCAGTACAAAAAAAATGTCTTAATAAAAATGTAAAATTAAATGAATAAATGTTATGATAAAAAAAAGAAAGGAATATTAGGATGTAAATGAAAGGAGAAATACATGAAAGGTAATTAAGTGTTTGGTACATTTTAAATTTGACAATTCAATATATACCCAAAAGTACTTATCTCCTTGCATTCTCAGGTTTCTGCTCCTACTTTTACATTTGTCTATACTGTATTACATCAGGAAATGCAGCATGAAGTATTAAAATACAAAATACTGGGATAGAGCAGAATAAATCTCATAGAAGAAAAAAGCTTTAAATTTCCAAGGAAATGCAGTGCTAAGTTAAAAAAAAAAATCAAGAATGGGAAAAATCTATAGTGAGAGAGAGAAACAAAATAAATCATCTGACACCTTTCAACTAAATCGTAGTGATCTAAACTGCTCTTGTAAAGCTATTTGAAGCAATCTCTGTGACACTCTTATGAAAGTCTTAATGAAAACCAATGCATATGCACATGTGTGAATTCTTTTTACTACACAATAAGACCCTGATGAACAAAGACAGAAATTGAGTTTGATCACATAACCGTTATGCATGCAATTCCATCTCTCTTCATAGGCACAAGCCACAGTTTGTGGAATTATATTTTTATATTGCTAAGACCAAGCTTAAAATGAGTGGGTCACTAACTGTGTTTTCTCTCCATTAATCTGTTAAGAATATGACAATTAAAATGTATTCCACCTGTTTAATATTTAAATTGAACTTCTATCCACATGAAAGTGGTTTCTACTTTCTTTTAACAGCAAAGAAACTATGCTCACTTATGAGCAATATGATAATTTAAATATTTAATGAAATTTAATGACTTTTCTTCTGAACTAAAAAATATAGCATCTTTGATCTAATTCTGCACTTTACTATTACATGACATCTCACCTGACTAATAGGATACAAGAGTTTCCAACAGTAGAATGTAGAAACTTCTACGAGTTTCATGAAATCATAATGTATATCAAAACTGAAAGTTTCCTTGGAGACTTTCTGAAATATAAATGGTAGCCCCCCTTCTTGTTTTTTCTTTGCAATATTGGGGATTGAATCCAGGACTTCATGCATGTTAGGCAACTACTCTATCATTTGAGCCAATCCACCAGCTATGGTAGGCCTCTTTTAATTGACTGAGGCTATCCAATGGTTTTCTATCTGCAACACCTTTTTATTTTGTTTGCTTTTGTTTTTAAATAAATTCTTTGTTAGAATGAAGTGTGGACCAAATCCAGGAGGCTTCATCATAGCACTTCATCATTTAAATTCTTATTCCTCCCTGAAATCTTTCCTTTTTTGCCCATTTCCAGCCTCTGAGGTGTTCGCCCTCCAAGGCATCCATTTGAAAGTTTGAAGTTCATTATTGAAATGTATCCCTTCTTTTTAAAGGCCAATAAAGTAAAGACCAGAAGGAATAAGAACATTTTCTAAGGCAACATAGTGATTAGACAAAACTATAATTTAGGTTTCCTGTCCTTTTATTTTAGGTTTTGAGGTATACTCTCCTTTTTAAAAGTAACTAGCTGTGAGTTGGTATCTGCATAAAATAATCTTAAGGTTTTTAAAAGATGTATACTAGATATAAGGCACTGAACTGTATTGTGGAATTAATTCCAAGAAATTGATTTATACTTACTCTTGTGTTGTTTCTTTCAGCTTTAAGTTCAGAAATCTCTTCTTCTTTTTCTAGAAGTTGTTCCCTGCATGCATTCAATTCTTTTGTCAGTGCAGCAAATTCCTGGAAAAGGTATAAAAATATTTCAAGACATATTCTAGATATAAAAAATAAATTCAGGGCTGATGGAGTGGATCATGTAGTAGAGTGCCTGTCTAGCAAGCTTAGCAAGCCTGAGGCCCTGAGTTCAAACCCCAGTTCCACAATAATAATAATAACAAATTAAGCAGGAAGAACAAAATGCAAAATACAAACTTTTGAATGGGAAAAACTGACTTAGTTGGCTGGCTAATATATATTGCTATTATTAAAGTATTTGATTCTATTGTTTAAAAATTGTTAATATGTGGTATTTATCATATGCATTTTATCATAATGCTTTGCTTAGCTGGTTATATAAAATATGTTTCAATAATATCACATCACATTGAACTTAATATGAGAACTTATTGCTACAATAATTGGCTTGGCTAGTTTTGTGAACAGCTCCAAAAATCTGACATTTTGATTCTTATATAGCAATGTTCAGATAGAGTATGTTTGATCATCGATGCACAAAACACTGATAAATGTACTATATAGAGATTAAATAATTTATTTCTTAATAAGGTAAAAAAGGGGAATCTGCCCGTTACTTACAGTGTAAATGTATCAAAGTTTCAACAACACTACCTGTGATTATTTTATTAATGTGTGTATTGTTCAGTGTTTGTGAAAAGTAAGCTCCAGGTAGGCAGGGACTTTAATGTGTTCACTACTGTACCATCAGTGTCTAGGATGAAGTGGGTGTTCGTTCAATTAATGCTTACTTTCAACAAGAGAAAATGGGTCAGCATGTAACCAAAAAAATCAAGGGTTCTGGGGTAATCCTATCTTCATGTGCTTAAATACATTTTATATGAATCTTCAATGGCTTCCTTTCCCAAAATGAGATCAGAAATCATAGGATTGTGAGGATTTTTTTACCATTAAAAAGACTACTTAATAAGAAAATCAAGAAATTTAATTAAACTCTTCCCCCAGTTCAAGTTATGAACAAATACAGTTTACATTTGAAAAATGGTAAACAGATCCCCACTCTCATTAAACCCTTTAAAATGATTCTTAGTAGTAAAATCAATGCTTATCAAATATTTAAATATTTGGGACAACTTAGTTTCAGGCTAAAAGAAACTCTCAGAATATAAAAAAACAAATGAAAAAAGAAATGGGGGAGACAGGTTTGGTTAAGTTAAACTCTGTGAAGGCAAACTTAGTAAAAAGTAAACGAATATGATGACTACCCAAAGCTGGAAAAGGTTTGGGGTTTATATTTTTGTTTGCTTCAAACCACTTATTTTGCTGAGTTTCTCTGAATGGCATACCCAGTGAGTACTTCAAAGACCTCAGAGTAGACTCTAGGGCTTAGAAAGTAGATGAAAGACTTCATTGTTACATTTGGCTGGAATTACAGATAAACGTTTTCTCCCAATTGCTGCCTGCTTAATGTTGTTGATATTCCTTGAGCAAGTGATTTAAGCAGAGAATGAAAACAAGCAAATAGAAAACAGTAAATCTTCTCTGAAAAAATGAAACTTTCTTTATAGATTGCATAGTTTTGATGGGAGAAAGAAGAGACATAAAGATTCTGTCTTGTGTGTTATTAACACACAGACATTTAAAATAATCTTATTACATATTATAATATCGACTAAGGTATAACATAAATCAAATTTCTATATTTAACAGCATAGCAATCTTAAAACCATATATATGTGTCAATATTTCTAAAGATTAATTTGCTGTCTATAAAAGGAATAAATAGAGTATTTCGTGATTTTAATATTAGATACATCCAAGTGTGTGAAATTATGAATGTGTTTTGTGTTTTGACTTCTCCTTATGTATTCTTATTATCAAAACTCTCTACAATGAAGGAATACTGGTGGTTTTTTTTGCTTAGAGAAAATATAAATCTCTAAGTGCATGGAAACAAATGTATATTTAAAAGGGTAGAAATTAGTCAAGATGTTACTGGTAATAGATAACCTGATATTTCTTTGTTATCATAGTAGTGATTCTGAGTAGCCTGCTTAGTGGTTCTATGTATTATGATTAATCTTACATTTATTAACTTCCTAGCAATTCAGGACACTATTTTCATATTTGTTATCTTGTCTTGTTCTATAAATTCCTAGTAAGGGAGTATTATTCCCATCTAATGAAAAAGAAAATGAATTTCTTAAGATAATTTTTAAGATGTAAATTTACAAAGCTCACACACAGTAGGGATGTGTTAGCTCTGAGTGTAGTTGTCTACGCTTCAAGTTTATTGCTTTTCTACTACATCATTTTGGATCTAGCTGTTCATTGGGCTTATGACTCAGATTTGGAGTGCATTTAGCAGTCCTCTTTCTTTCTTATCTGAAGCATTAAGTAACCATTACTATAATTATCTTGCATGATGTCCATTAATCCAAAGGAAGTATGAGGAAGTGGGAGGTCTAAGGCAGGATATTCTTTCCACACATGGTAACAAGTATTAGAAAAGCAAGTCCTACAATCTAGAACTGAAATAGATGCAGATCTCACATCCAGAACTAACCACCAAAACTTTTTATACTTTTCTCCTGACATTTCTCTTTTCTGTGCTTACTTCTTCATTCTTCCTTACAAAATGAACTGAATAATGTAGTCTTATAAAAATAAGAATAATATAAAATATAGTTAACACTGACAGAGTCCTTATAATATGCCAAGAACTCTAAGCAATTCCTATCCCATGAATCTTAAAAACACCCTGTAATGAAATACTCAAACCCTGCTGAGACCTACAGAAGTTAAGTCATTTATTCAAAGTTGCTCATTTAGTCAATGCTGGAGCTAAGCTTTTGAACCCAGATAAGTTATCTTAGACTACACAATTACAATCTGTTGAGGTTTTTTTTCCCCTCCTAATCACAAGCTTCCCCTTTTAATTTGTCCTTCATTCAGTCTTTATAAAATTTATATTTTTTCCAAGCTCACAAAACTTTCAGAGATTCACACTACTGAAGACATGAAATTTAAACAGACTTCAGATTTTAAAATTCAAATAAACTAAAACATGGTCCTTTCAAAATTAATTAGCATTATTACTTACAGAATAATAACTACTACCATTTTAAGCTGGTGGTATTTTGTTTTGTTATGCTCTAAACTAATCATTTTGTGTGAATTAGTTCATCAATTACCTGGTTTTCAGCTGAGGACAGCGAAGCTTACTCTGAATAAATAACTTCCTCAAGATTATACAGCTAAAATTGACCCAATCTCTCTGATTCCCACACTCTTTAATATCTGGTCTCCCACGAAATCTTTTGTTCTCATGAAATTTCTATGCCTCTTTTCACACTTCCTTCTCAAAAGATCAAACTACCACAATCATCACCACGTATTTCACTTTTCTGTGTTCACTGGCTAGGATACAATAAACAAAACCACTTGTAGCATATCAGCCTTAAAATATATGTTTTCGTTCTATATTTGTAAGAATTATCTTATTATCTACAGAAAGAAAACACAGAAATATTTCAGAATTTTAATATTAGATGTCTCTAAGGGGTGACATTATGAATTTCACCTTTTCATTTTTCTGTTTTTTCACATAGCTATCCTTTCTAATTCATTTTTAAAGCACCATTTTGTTTTGTCAATGCTATAAATTGTCTCTATTTGTGTTGCTTTTATAGTAATTGAATTATGTGCTCATCTCCCTAAGTAAACAATATGATCTTTTAAAATAATGTTATTCTTATATTCTCAGGTCTTAGCATAGTTCCTAAAATAGACAAAACTCAATATAACCTTATTGTAATAATAATTGAATGGCTTTCCCCCCATACCTTGACTTTAATATTGAAATAATTTTTGAATGTATTATTAATTATTCTTCCTTCTTTTTCTGAGCAAGAGGATTATAATTTGATTAATACATAACAAATACAATAGTAATTTTCTCTGTAGCTATTGCTTTTGTCTATATCTCCAAAGGCCCACTGTAGAGCTGAAGATTAATAGTGTGAGTGAGGTGTTTGTGCTGAATGCAAAGATAGTGGAATGAACAAGAACATGTGCACCTTAAAGGAGGAAGCAATAATAAGATCATTTTCTATTATCTAGCACTTGGTGTCTTTTGCTCCCAAAAATTTGTGCATTAAGATTTATCATTTGTTCATTGGATATATCATAATGGTCTTAGTCATTCTCAAAGTGAAAGCTCATATTTAATCACTATGTTATTTATTTTAGTTTAGTGTTTCTCAAACTATGTTCCTAGAAAAGTTTTTCTATAAGACTTCAAGAAAAGGATTCCATGGAAAACTAGATTTGAGAAATAATGTATATTTTCTAAATTGCTATTGGAAATTCATAAACAAACATGAGAATATAAGAGATTATCAGAAAACTTGGATTCTCTGACGAAGAATTGGCAGCAACCTAGATTTCTATCTATACGAAAATGGATGAATTAACATGTGATGGAATATCATAGAAGGAAAAGAATTAATAAGTTAGATCTTCATAGAGAAAAATGGAAACATTTCAAATGTATAATACTGAGCAAATAAATGTAAGAAACTACCAAACATATAAAACAGAGTATTGTCAGAAACAGTTCCATAAGGGATAAATGTTAAAACTTCATTCATACTTCACCATGCTAATCTAAAACCAGTCCATAGGAAAAGCCAAGCTTGCCCAGAATCACTGGAACAGGGGGAATAGATCAGCTACTAGCCAAAAACATTCAGCAGTTTTTCAGACCAGTCATTATGCTTCCCAATCATAGTCTACAAATGTCTTATTTTTCCTAAGGAACAAAATTACTTTCTCCACTCTATTTTTTCCCTTGGGATTTTAAAGAGTGGTTAGGATCTAGAACACGCAGTACCATAAAAACCCTCAGACCAGGGAGCGGTGCCCTGTTCTTAGCTTGTGCCCATGAACTTCACTCCCACATTCCCATGAGTGCACTACGTGATGGACACCGAGCTCAGTGCTGCGAGGATGACAGTAAGGAAAGCAAGTGAGGGACTCTGCTC